GAAGCGACGAAAAAGAAAAGAAAGCAGGAAAGCAAAAGCAAAAGAAAAGCAAGCAGAGGGAACGCGACGGGCTGCCTGCACCGGAACTTACGAAACGAAAAAAGAAAGGGACGCGAAGCATAAATGATGCCTACTGCAGCGGCCAAAAAGGGGAAAACGACGCCGAAAGCGACGAAACGAAAAAAAAAAGAAAAAAAAGGGGAAATAAGCGGGAAATGTGGGCGTGGGCGTGGGTGTGTGGGTCTGGATGGTTGCTGCTGCGGCGGGGTACGGCGACCGAAAAGGGGAAAGCGGCGTGGAAAGCGACAGAACAAAAAAAAAAAAGAGGGAAATGTGGGCGTGGGCGTGGGTGTGTGGGTCTGGATGGTTGCTGCTGCGCTGGGCGACGACGGCCATTGCATCAGCCGAAAAAAGGAAAGCGGTGGCGAAAGCGACGGAATGAAAAAAAAAGGGAAAATGTGACTGTGGGAGTGAGTGTCGGTATGGGCGTGGATGCATGGGTGTGTGGGTGTGGATGGTTGGTGTTGAGGCTGTCTGTGCTGCCCTGATGCCTTTTGCCGCTAACACGAGCAGGAAAAGTGGGATCACGACAAAACCGAAAAAAATTGTCGGTGACGTGAGCAGGAAAAAGTGGGAGTGCGACAAAAACGAAGAAAGAAAAGAAAGAGGGAAAGCAAGAAAAAAAAAAAGCGAGCGGGAAAGCGGAAAAAAAAAAGTGAGCAGCGGGAACGCGACAGACTGCCTGCACCGGAACTGACCCAACGAAAAAAAAAGGGACGCGGCGGACTGTTTGCATCGGAACTAACTAAACGAAAAAAAAAAGGGGGGACAACGGCCGCTGCAGCGGCCAAAACGGGAAAAGCGGCGCCGAAAGCGACAGAACGAGAAAAAAAAGGGGGAAAGACGGCCGCTGCAGTGGCCAAAAGGAAAAGAAAAATCCAGCGGCCTAACTCGGTTGGTACGGCACGCAAGTGGCATTCAGGAGGTCATGGGTTCAATCCCCATTGGCCTGATGTACCTTCCTGGGCATGCTTGGCGCCCGCCACCTAGAGATAAACCATTGGATCCCCCGATCGGCATTGAGCAGAGTCTGCTGATGTTCGTAGGGGAGGGGACCTGAGGGGAGGAACAGGAATTGGTCCTATTGGCATGGTCCTTGATGCTACCGGTTGTCCCCTAACCGGTATCGCCCACCTGCAGGTCGGGAGCAGCACCCGCATGTTCTCTCGTGAACACGGTTCTGGCTGCTATGGGGTTCCCCGTATGCCTACAATTAGGAGTAGCAGTAGGTAGTGTGAGGTGAAATTGAGAGAAGAATTAAAAATAAAAAAAAAAAAAAAAAAAAAAAAAAAACCGTAAGGATTTTGCTGGCGGGCTCTTTACTTTGCAATCCTTCGCAATTCTGGAAAAAAAAAAACTGTTTTTTTTTTTTTAATGTTTATAAATGCGAAACAGGCGCCACACACCGTTTTACGCATTGCTAGTCGGTCCCGCAACCGTCACACCACTCCACATACATCGTTAGTGGGATCTCCCTCCAGGCCCCTGGTCACCTGTAAATATATCTAAAGACTGCCGCCCTTTAAGAAAAAATAAAAAAAAATTAGGGGGAATCGGTAGCTACGAATCCCCCTCGGCGGCGGCCATCCGCGGACAAGTCCACGGCCGCGGCCTAGGCCGCGACCCCGCGAACGTATCCGCGGTCCGCGGCCATGAAAAAAAAAAAAAAAAATTCTGAAAAAAAAAATGTTATGCAGAAAAATATACTGAACAACTTTTGCCTTGTGGTCATATCCAAAAACGTTACTGAATTTAAAACAAAAAATCACATACGTTTCATGCTTTTTTTTTGGAAAAAAAAAAAACAAACAGTTTTTGCCTCAGGAAAATTAGTTTTTGAACTTTTTAAAATTCAAAGACAAATTCAAAAAATAAAATAAAATTGCGCAATTTAGACCTCGAAAAGATCTACAACCCCTTTTTTTTTTTTTTTTTTTTTGATAAATTTTTAAGGTCACAAAAAATTCGTGAAAATCGCGGCCGCACTCAACCGCGCCCGGAGCCGCGGCGGCCGTGATCACGTCCGCCCTCCGAGCTTGACCCCGCGGACGTGTCCGCAGGTGTTTCATAGACCGGTAGCACATGACCACAGGTCCACGAGGGCTACCGGTAGTACAGTGGGGGGAGCTGGCAGAGTGGCGAAATTTAAAATTTGCATTGAATTACCCCTGCGATTTATTTCGCGGTTGAAATGATTTTTATTATTTTTTTAAATATTTTTCCTGTACAGATCACGACCAAATCTGTAGACCCTCAAAGTTTTAGAGTTGTTGGGCAATCTTTGTGATTGGGAAAAATCGCGAACGTTGGGTTTCTTTTCCCATTGGCCCATACATGGTAGAGTTACTGTAGCAGAAATAGAAAATGTGACAAAACAGCGCGGCATTTACTTCACTGTTAATTTTTTAGTTTTTATTTTTCTGATATTTTTCCTAGAAAGATCACGGCCTAATCTACAGGACATTAAATTTTCATATTTTTTTGCCACTTTTTCTGAGCGTGAAAAATTGTCAAACTTCACGCTTGAAAATGCTTGGCCCGAACCCGCCTGCGCGACGTTAGGGTTCGGACACAGGCACATCCATACGTGCCAGCAGCCTGACGTCGGATACACTTCAAAAGACAGCAGTCCCCCAAAACAGACAAGCACCCAGTCCACCATAGTGGTTATAGCATCGGGCAATTGGGTATTTCAAAATCTGTGCGTGGGTTCAAACCCCAACCCAACCATTGTGAACCGACTTCAAATACTACTAATACTAATAAATGTATATATACTAATACTAACGTGTATTTGTGTGTGTGTGTATGCGTGCATGGGTGGGTGTGTGGGCGTGCGTGCGTGCGTGGGTGCCGCCACCCGGGCCTCCTTGCTTTTGTCGTCGCCAACTCAAAAGAAGGGGCAACCCGATAGACGAAATGCGAGGAATGCGATGGAAAAGGGGGGAACACGACAGAAGATTGCAACGGGAAAAGAAAGAAAAAAAAAAAAAGGAAACCAACCGACGATGGAAAAAGGGAAAAAAGAAAAAAAGGACCTGCAAATGAATTAAAAAAAAAAGGCGCGGCGGCTATCCGATGGCGGCCGCTTCGAGATACTCCCTCACATCAACGCCCGCCACCGCCCGGCCCGATGGGCGCACTCGCTCGTTTTTTGGCGAGCTGTGAACAATTCGGTACGCGCGCCGCTCTGCACGCCGCCCCTCCCTCGATCGCCTTCATCCGCTGGCCCGAATCAAAACTTCGGCCCGATTCTGGCACGCAGCGGACACAACCTCCCCCCGCGGGCCGCTCGCGCTTAAGGGGTATGATATATAAAGAAAGATAACTAACATCTTTAAGGGGTATGATATATATATATATATATATATATATATATATATATATATATATATATATATATATATCGTCACAATATATATATGTAAAGAAAGATAACTAACATCTTTATAGGCCGGGGATTTGAGCGGGTCTACAGGGGTTGGCGTGGTGGTGGGCGTAGGGAGATCCGCCGGGGGCAAGGTGGGTTGGGGGGGTTGCTGCAGGCGACG